CACATCCTGCTATAAAATTACCTGAGTTTTGTCTGATTTCAATGGACTAAGATATTTGCTCTAGAAACTACATCAATAATAATTAGATTAAAATTAAAATTTTGTGTTTTTGCACTGTACTTACTTTGCTGAAGGAGTCCAGAATTTAGTCTCCTATTACGCATACAGAACACATCTTATGGAGTACAAGCCAAAGCATGCAGACTTGAAAAAAAAGAAAAATATGATGATGGATGATTGACTTGAGAAGTGGAAAGCTCTCATCTGGACTTCACTGCTGTCAGATGTGATGACGTATCTGTCTTGTGCCAGACAGCAGCAGTTGCAGCAGCCTTGCCTGTGAGGAAGAGAAAGGCGCTCATACACCTACTGTGTCCTCAGGCTGCAGTGGTGCAATTTAACACCGATCTTAAAAACTCGACGCATGCAACAGTTTCCAGAGCGATGCTGGAACACACTCAGTCTTTGTCTTAGAAGGTGCAACATAAACTGTTGACTGTGTACAAACAAAACATCTGGCACCTTCCTTTCATTAATATTTGACAGTCTACCTAAGAGCTCTGCATATAAAAGCAGGCAGCTGTGAATCGTAATCCTCCTTCCGCTCTGTCAACATTCACTCGCTTTTCAGCACGTTGGGTTTTTCGTGATTGGCATCCCTTCCAACCCACACCTAACTTATCTTCATTCCTCATCTTTAATTATTACTGCAATGTCAGGGATTTGTCACTGCCTCCTACTACTCTGAAAAAGTTAATGTATGGCACAGATGGAGTCCTCTAAACAAACTAGGTTGTCACAATGACAGTCCCTTATGATAACATGGCGGCAAAGGCAGGACCGAACAGCTGGCTCTGTCTGAGTCCACATTTCTAAAGGGTCCCCCTTTTTTAAACAATACAGCATGACATTCTGGCTTATTAAAGTTTCATGTGGTCCTACAAGGAAGCTTTAGTGGTGACAACATGAGCAGACACCGCCGGAGAGGAGCAGTTTGACAGTTATGAGAAAACCAGAGGATGACAGGAAGTTTATTTAAATAAAGCATACTGTACTTGTCCTGCTTTTGAAGACTGTACATGAATACATTTTCTTTTAGTTCTTTTGCAGTTTTGATTTTGAGTTTTAAAATTTGAGTCTGGTCTGTTTTACATATTTTGAGCTCCTTTCAGGATAAGCTGTTTTAGGGCCTCTTGTCTCTTTAAATCTTAATAAGTGGCTGCTGGCCCCCCACCCTAAACCCAATGTTTGCATTCACATGTGAAAATCACATTCTAACAGCTAGTACATAACCTTGATGAGTAGTTTCTTTCTTTTTTTGCTTCTCCTTTTAAGCAACAGAGAGATGGACAATTAAAAATATATTTATTTTTTATATTTCACAATATTTACACTTCAATTGAAACTGTTTTTCTGATAGACTCAAGAATCTCCTGTTAGAAATCACACTGATCTATTTTAAAGGTCAAGTGTAAAATCTGAAATACTTGATTCTTGATTTTTGAGAAAATGTTGGAGTGCCAAATTCCAGAGTTGAAGGAAAACTTTGCAAGAAAGACAAAGGAGAATTCGAAATAAAGGGCTTTTGAGAGAAGATTCAGAGTTAAGATAAAAAGAAGAAGCCTTACTTTTGGCCTGGGTCTTTTTATGTCACCTCTCATTGAACCCAACTGGGTTCCTGGATCTTTGGTTCCTCTCGACAGGGAAATCTCTGCACAGCATCTGTTCAACCTGACCTCAAGGTCATCTCTACAGGGAGGGATCTGTCACAGACCCTGAATGTTCGATGGTTTCTTTCGTTGGAATCTGAATCGATCAGTTAAAGGGGGAGAAAAAAACAATTTCTAAGGATAAGCTGCGTTTTACCTCCAGCACATAAACTGAAGCTGCTGAAACATTAAGGAGCATCAAGAGGAGAAACAAAAACAAAGAGTTAGGGTAAATAAAGATTTGCCACTGAATTTACCGGTCGATCAGATCCAAAATACAACTGAGGGAAGGCAAAACTTCTTTGATGCTTGTGTGTGTTGCTCTATCTCTTTGTAAATTCACACTCTGTCTCTCCTCTGAGTCAGCATGCAGAGCTCACTAGAGTCACAACATCATGATGTCATCAGGTCCTGGTCACCCCAGCACCGAAAAGCCTTGAAAAGCATTTGTGCATCACATTATTATTTTACTGGGTGGAAGCAGTTTGAGCTCAAGATCTACCGAGGTCTAAGTTAGCAGAAAAAGAACATTCACTCGAAAGAGGCAGTGTTAAAAATCAACATTTATTAGCTATACATCATGTTATAATGTTATTATACATCCATGGAGTGTTTCCTCAATTCTTTCATGCATGTTTGGGAAATCCTTCACTCTCCCATGACAACATTCAGCTGTGCAAAATGCCTGGGTGGACCTAGCATTACAAGAGCTACTTTTTAGAGAACGATGGTGAAAACGTTGTTTAAATGTCTTTCTGAAGGCAGAGTGTAGTGAAGATCAGGACTTTCTTAAAGAAACAGGCCCAATTTCAAGGCATTAAATTGTAAAGTCCATTTCTTTAAGTCATAGTTGATACATGTGGCATTTTCATAAAAATTGAAGCTAACATACTTTCTTGATACAGTGACACTATATGCCTGGAAAATACATAATACTGTCCCTTTAAGAATACTATTTGACCTCATGTAAATGAACATCTTCGTGTCACTGAATGCCATCCTCACAATACAGGTGTGTTTTTAGCTTTTATTCAAAGGTACTTGGTATTTTGCTATTTTTTTGAAAGTTTGTTCCAGATTTGTTGTGCACAGAAGCCGAATCCTGCTTTCCTATGTTTGGTTCTGGTCCTTGGAAGGACAGGCAGAGCAGACCAGAACCAGAAGACCTGAGAGGTTGATGCAACATCTTTAATGTATTTTGGGGCTAAGCCGCTCAGTGATTTCTAAACTAACAGAAGAATTTTAAAGTCTCTCTACATTCTTGGTGTTGGTGAGAATGCCAACATCAGTGTTCTTATGCACATGTATTTCATAGACATGTATTGTACACCACTGCCCAGGCAGAGTGGAAATGGGCCATTTCAGTAGCATGTTTTTGCTGTGAGAAACTCCAAAACCAAATTGATCTGATCGGTGCACAGTTACAGCTGCCAGAGAACAAAATGACCAAAATCTATCTAGCCTTTGTAAATGATCCTCATTTCATTTAATGTCTGTTATCTAAACTCTAGTGGCTCCAATAAATCAGAAATCTCCCTGAATGTGTGGCCCATTAGTGGAGTTGATGAGCCTTAGAGAGGCCAGTTGTGTCTGTGGGCACATCAGCAACACACTCGGTGCTCTAAGGTGTCGATCCAACCTGCAGGCGTTTTCATCTGTTTTGTGTTTGAGCGGTGGTGTCGGACTGGGAGAGCAAAGAATGAGAAGCAGCACTGGTGACAGATGATAGACGCACTCAGTACACTGCTCATCTTTTTTGGCATGAGCCCTCAAGGACAATCCATACCAGAAACTCTCGTTTGAACGCCCGACAAAGTTTGTAGGCTTTTTTGCATAATCTAAACTAACAGTTATGGGAGATTGTCACGCTTAGAATTTTAAAATACCATTTCTCTGCTATCGAGCTATTTTCTTATTAAAATAGTTTTCACAATCTGAGCTCCAGTCCCCATCTCTCATTAGGCCTATTGGCTGCCGATAAATTATTGGCTAGAAATGATTTAGTTGCTTTTAAAAGTTAATGACTCAAGTACTTCTTACTAGAGAATGGTGTGACATTGCAGTGTTTTTCTGTCAGGGTGTGAGTGGACTGGTTGTCAGAGCAGGAATCCAGATTGCAACATGAAAGCAGAGCTGCACAGTGTGACTGGATGTGAAGAATGCACACAGCAGGAAAGACGGACCGCGACGAACACCGGTCGGGAGGATGCAAAGGAACGAGGCTGCCAGGAGACGAAACGCGTACAGACTTGATCATATACAGAGTGAAGGATTTCAGGAAATGTGAGGAATGGGAACAGAACTTTGCTTCTCAGTCACACTGTGGCAACACGTAGGGGAGTTGACAATCCGGTGAGCAGCGGGCGGCAGTGTGTGGGTATTTATACTGCAGAGGCTTGATGAATGAAGGCTCCCAGGTGTGCGGGCGGAAAAAGAGACACTAGAACATTATGGCTCTTATTTACTCACACACTGTCACACAAAAAACATGGGGGTGGATCAACAAGAGACCGACCTGACATGCAGGAAGAAGGAAATGAAGGCATGGGCCGCCTGGGATAGGTCCACTCACGCTTACAGTGAGTGGACAGAGAAATACTGCAGGTTAAATTTGCTTGGCACATGAAGCAGGTTGGGCTGCAGAGGGCAGAACTGCTGCCTTGCATCAAAAAGGTCCTGCATGTCATTTGCATGATCTCCATGTGCATGTGTGGGTTCTCTCTGGGTACTCTATTTTTTTCCACAGCCCATAAATATGACATTTAGGTCAATTGATTTCTCTAAGTTGACCTTATATAGTTTGTGTGCATTATTGTGTCTCTGTACCTGTTTTTGCTGTCAGTTTTGGACTCGTTTGATTTAAAAAAAAAAAAGTATTGCTATTTCAGTTTTTTGAAATACTCTAATTCTGAGACAGTCAAAAAACCTCTTCAGATTTGTGCAAAAAGTTTTATCAAAAATGTGAATTGTGTTTCCATGAAATGAATTTATTTTTATAATTCCAATTTACACAATCGTATGGTGAAAGCAGCTTGTGTTGCGCTTTGTTTGACTGGTAGCCAGTGCAGGGTGTCCCTCCCTCCGATCCAATGGCTGCTGGACATGGACAGCCCTACACAAATAAGAGGGAATGGACAAGGATAGATAAAGATAAAAAGATTGATCTTTTCCAAGCTTTTCTTTAAGCAAAAAACATGATATTTTTCATTTTTTTAAAAAAAGATTAAGATATCAAGAGAACCTTAATTAGTGAGATCTTATTCTTTCTCTCTCTCCTTTTTTGTTCAACAGTGACTGTAACTCCAAAGCTGCGACAGTTGGAGTTCAGCATTGGTAAGTATCTAATCTTGCACAATGTTGTTTTTTACATAACATACATTATGTGTACACATAGTATCAGGGTTGTCTAAAGTGCTGCCTTTTGATGCCTGCTGGCACATGCTGATTGTGCTGAGAAGAGATTCTTACTGATTAATAAAACTCTTTTAACAATGGAAAATGTTTGGTAGGACAACACCAAGAAGTATCTGTTTTTAAAAACCATAGTTTGTGCTGTTCTGATGTCATAGTAAGTCAGACCAAAAATATACTGTGACTTTAACTCATAAGACACTTGGCTAAGAAAGAATCACTTGCATGCAATTCTTGTTGCCAAAGAACAGTTTATTGACCAACAAAATTGAAAACAATTGACGACAAACAATTAGGAAGCAATATGCAATTTAATGAGGCACATTTGCGAGGCACTTCGTGTTCAATTTACAACGATTTGCAGATCTGTTTCCTATAAAAATACAACTGCAGCATGTGGCGAATGATGGGAGCATTTTCATGAACTCTCTTGCATGTAACAAGTGGTAGCTTAGAAGTTGATTCAGGAGCATCATCATGAAAATCTTAGGGTGCAGTTGCTTTGGTGGTTTTGTGGCTATATGTGGAAGAGTCATAACAGGAATTGGTTCAGGAGTGATTGTTGGTGAGGCCTGAGATCTTAGCATTGACATTGTTCTGGCTCTAAAGTAGTTATTCTTAATTTGCTGTGACCTGAAGAACGTCGAGCAACCCTGAACTTGTGCCAACGAGTCCTATGAGGCTCACAAGTTGGAGTATTTTTGTTTTTAAAATGACTTGTTTGTTTTATCAACTTTATCTCAAAGCTTCAGCTGTTTCTCTCTCTGGAACAGCCATGAAATGCATTACAGAGCATTTTGTTTTCGAAGCCTCTGCTATCTAAGGAGGGAATCTTATGCATGTGTTTGAGTTTTCTCCAGTTCTTATTAAAACTCTGGGCTCGTATTTGTGAAAGAGCTGCAGCTGTTCCATATTCCACGGGGGTGAAAAATGAGTATAAAGGGTCTTAACTGTTTTCACTGTGTGTGTGTGTGGTGTGGGAGTGGCAGCAAACCTCCTCAGTAACATCACAGCCAATTAACATTTAATGAGATAACTGTAGGAAAGCACATTTTTTACTGGAACAATGCTTTGCTGCGATGGTGATGATTAAAAAGTAACTGTTCCACTTTTGCATATAAATTTCAGCTTATTTGTCATAAAAAAAACCTTGTCTGTTTACATGGAAACAAACTGAAAGAAGTCTTTCTAACATAACTTTGATCACATTATGTTTTTATCATTAAATTATACCATTAATCAAAACCTTCTTTTTATTTTTACCTTTACTTTAATCAGTCTCTTTCTTTGCTTTTAGCCATTTTCTGTTTGAGTCCCATTTGTGGTGTAGCGTAAAACTGAACAGGTTGGCTGTCCATTTTAAAACAGACACAAAGTTGAAATGATGCAAATTTATCTAATGATACATCTTCAAACTGCCTTTGTGTAAGTTAACTTTATTTAAGCTGAATCCTTTGAAAATAAATACAGATTTAAATAAATGTGACATTCTGCACATTTTACTTGTTTGTGAAACGTTCTGTTTCTAATGATTACAGATTTGTCAAGCAGAATGCCTAAAATAACTCTTAAGGAACGAACTTGATTGAAGTTGAAATCCATCCACTTCTCTTCGGTTCAAGGCAAAGCTTTGAAGAAACTGTTTTTTGCAGAACAGTCTTTAGGCCCTTAAAATATGTTTAAAACATCAAAAGCTTAGTGATTTTCTTTTAATAAAACATGTTTTTCTTAATACAATATAGTTGTGTCTAAAAACAATGTGCAGAAAAATTGTTTTTGACAATGACGGCGATTATTAAGTCGTACTGGTATTTGCACTGAGAAAAAAAACTCTCAGCTTGAAATCTTTAACTTTTTTTGAGGTTGAAAACTAACTATTTTTTTGGAATTTCAAGCAATTACACCAACTTTAAGTAGTTCATAATTTTCAATTTGATACATGATTTCCATTGTTTCTTTTTTTTACAAACTAATGTCTGTGTGGAGCAGTGGTTCCCAAAGTGTGGGGCGCGCCCCCTCTGGGGAGCGCGTGCTGTTGCAGTGGGGTCGCGGGAAGCAGCATGGATGAATGAAAAAAACAACAAACAGTTACACAAAAGTGTTTGTAGTGTGTTTTGTTGGAACCTGAAGTGTGAAATAAACTTCAGTGAAGTTTGAAAACAAAATATGAGTATAGGTTTATGTCTGGTTGAACGATGTGTGTGCCCAGTGATTTTTTTTTCTTTTTTGGTGGGGATTTTATTGTAATCCATAGGGGGCCCAGAAAATGTTTGGGAACCACTGGTGTGGTGTGCACTTTTGAATTTCTATTTTCTTACCCTTCTTCCATAAAGGGTAGATTGTGGAAGACTCAAAAAGATGAATAAAAATTAATGGTTGTAACATAAGAAGATGTGAAAAATTATTTTGCACATCACTGCAATTTGAAACACTTCTAGTATATATTTTTTTTATTTATGCCATCAGTATTTCCACTTTTCAGAGCAAGATTTATTTATGTACCAAAGTACTTCTGTCGGATAACTGCTGAATTTTTAAGATGAGAAATGCATAAAGATCAGAATATATTTGAATCACGGAATGGCTGCATTTAAAAAAAATAAATTTGTTGTTTTCTAACGCAACCCTCCTGTTCTCAAAGGAGTTGAGATACTCATTGAATTTTCTATCATTTCATTTAGTTACATCATCTGAAAATGTCAAAGACAAGCTGCAGTGGAAGAAGCTCAGATTTTTCAGAGTGAGGTTTCTTTTATGTTATGACCAGTAAATTCTGGTCTTAACTGCAGTCGATAATTCTCTCACCGTCTTCACTCTAATGAAAGTAAAGAGCTTGCTTCCCAGCTGATGACTAGTAAAAGCGAGGTAGAGACAGAGAAAGACTCAAATTAAAACAAATGCACATTAAAAATGACAGGTGTTACAAATGTTGACAGTAGAGTTTAATTATTTACGTAGGAGTCCACAGTTTTCATGTACAATCGAGTTTTCTTGCACAACGTGTGACGGTAAATAAACAGAATGTTTAGAGGAACTAATGTATATGAATTACAACAGATTTGGCTTGAAGCGTTAGTTTGTTGTTGTTTTTTGTATCAGACTGGCGTAAGTTTCAAGAAAAAAAAACAGCATTACCTTTCTATGCAACTAATATTGTAACCTACATCATTAGATCTCCATCGATTAAATTATGAAAAATGAGTGTTGAAGCTGAAAGACTGCAAAACCACATCTCTCATATGGGTTAAAAAACTAATTAAAAACCATAATTGTTTGAACAGCAACTCATGTGAAGGTTTAAGTGAAGCATTTCCATGTGCGACTATAATCCTAAAATCAAGCACAGGTGGACTAACTAGGTGAATCCAACAGCTTGCACTGAAATTTATTAGCAGTATCAGATTTGAGGGGAAGAGATTGAAATGTTTCTCAAATTTCAAGAATTTCTTTTTCAATATTTTGAACAGAATAATTTTTGCTTCACTTAAGAAACAAACTTTTTGTTAGTCTCTCTCATTCCGTCCCGACACACAAACGTAGAAAACTGCAAATTTTATGAAACTCTGTTATAAATGGCATTTTTCCCAGACTCTTAGACAAAAGGTGTGCAGATCAAAGCAGTGGCACATAAGAGGATAATTGATTTGGGTGATGAATTCTTATCATTAGACATGAATCATTCTGAAGATGAGTATGTATTTGTCTCATGCGGTAAAACCTCAGCCATCACACTGAATTCAGATTCCTTCAGGAGGTCACAGAAGCCTCCTGCATTAAAAGCCATTGCTTAAAAATTCATCTTGAAAGATGTCAATGTATTCCAATCAGACTGAATAAATACACTGCAGTAATTGAAGTCTCCAAGGATGGGCAAACATTATTACTCAATTGAACAATTGTTGTGGTAATTTGGGAATCAGTTCCGATTTACTTTGGCTGTTTGAGTAAGTTGACTGAAATTGCCAGTCGTGACATTGTTGAATTAATTTTCACCTAAGCTAAGGAAGGCAATTCAGTAGTAATCAGCAGAAGGATCTGCAAATGTAATTTTCTTGAAGCCACTCCAAATTTGTTCGCTCCTTATTTTTCTTGCTTTCCAATCCATTATTTGAGTCTGTGACATTTTAATGAGCCATATTCCTCCTCCCTCCATCCATGTTTCTCCCTCATTACCTCCACTCTCCCCCCTCCATTTAGACTTCCTTCCTAAATCTCTAAATGTTTCTCTAGGGGACTCTCTTGTCCTGTCTCGTCACACTCTCCATTTCCTTTTCCTGCCTCCCCCACCTACAGTAATAAAGGTTCTTGGTGCAGAGATTTCATCGAAACGTCACATTCCTTTGAAAAAGCCATTATTGTGGTGTTTAAAGGGGAACCGCTTCCAGTTTCAATCTTTAAATCAGCACCCTCGATACTAAAACACACAATGCTGATCACTGTATGTTTAACTTATTATTCCAGTGCTGTTATGAAACTCATAGGAGACTCACAGTGCTGGTGAGGAGTGGGGATAAGCTCATTATCAGAATAAATATGGTGCTTTATTAAGTCCAGAGGTCCCAGCTTCATCTCAATATCAGCAGCTGGGTGGATGGAACTGGGAGTCCTGAAAGAAACTGGTTTTGGAATGGACATGTTAATCATCTGGAATGGCCAATTCTCTAACCTTAAAATCCATAAAATATGAATAAAAGCTGAGATTGTTCCAAAGAACAAAACAATTAAAATAAACTCTACAAATTCTGCCAGGAAGGTTGTTTAGGCCGAATTTTGCCTTAAGCTTGCTGATGGCTACAAAAAGCATGTAATCAATGTGCAACCTGCTAGTGGGCATTTAACTCAACATCATTGAAGCTGCATGAATATTTGAACATTCCTGTGTTATAACACTGTGTGGACCAGGAATCATTCACATTAAAATC